AACCATGGGTTTAGAATAAATTTATGGATGCTGCTTTTTAATTAAATATTTAATAAAACCTTAATTGTTTTATTTACAAATATTATTATTTAAAAGATACTGTATTTAACAGTATGGTAGAAAAATATAGGGAGCATAATTTAAAATATCAATAAAGAGACCAATGTGCACTATTTGCTTTGTATCTGATGCTGTTCTAAATGTTTCACCTGTAGGTTCACTTTCATTTTTACAGCATCTTTTTTTTTTTTTAATCTATGTGAAGGGATCCCTGGGTGGTGCAGCGGTTTGGCACCTGCCTTTGGCCCAGGGCGCGATCCTGGAGACCCGGGATCGAATCCCACGTCGGGCTCCTGGTGCATGGAGCCTGCTTCTCCCTCTGCCTATGTCTCTGCCCCCCCCCTTTCTCTCTCTGTGTGTGACTATCATAAATAAATAAAAATTTAAGAAAAATTAAAAAAAATAAAATCTATGTGAATATTGACATTGAAGCACTAAAAGAGACTTGCCCAGGTTACACAGGCACCTGAGGCAAATTTGGGCTACATGCTCTGCAGTACGACTTGTGTCCTTAGCCACCATGCTTTCCAGACTCTTTCAGGCCAAAACTCAAAAACAATTGACTGCTGAAGTTCTTTTGTATTTTACCTGAAAAAGATTTGGTGACTTGCTTTGAAATGTAAAAGTTTCTCATGCCATTAAATATGGACTACTATTCCAGGAGTGAATGAGACAGTAATTTCCTATCAATGACCAATCCATTTATTTAGTTTAAACAGCTTAGTTTAGGAAATTCATTTTTACAATATGATTTTTTTTTACAACATGATTTAAGGGCTGAAAAAAATAGAAACTTCAGTGACTATCTTATTTATGCCAACTGCAGTGTTAATAACTCCATTAGTAATTTGTCTACATAATATAACCTAGGTAAATACAACCTACCTATAAAATGTAGAAGGTAGCTTACTGTATAGTTTTTATACATGAAATGTTTAAAAGCTTTCATTCTATCTGTAGCAATAATAATGATAGCTGTTGGCTTATAAATGTTTTAAGGCTCTCAAGTCAGGAAAAAAAGCAGTAAGCAAAGACCAATTTTGCCCCTTAGTAGGGAAAATGTTCTTAGACAAATTATGAAGCCTCAGTATCATTATCTCTAAAGTGGGTGTAATAATGGTATTTACCTCATAGGAGAGGTATGTGAAGATTGTATAAGATAATTTCTTCATTTGTGCAATAAATATTTACTGATCCTCTACAAAAGCACTGATCTAGACATGATGATTCAGCAGAGAAAATAGAAATTCATCTCAAGACTCATGAAGCTTATATTCTCCTGGGATTAGAGAGCAAATAAACACAGGAACCTTTAATATCACATAAATAAAATATAAATAATGCATATAGTACACTTATTTAATAGTGAATGCCATGAGGAAAATATCACTGGCTGCAAAAGCTGATTATCATTATTTATTTTACATAAAAGGCTTCTATGTATTGAAAAACAAAAATGATAACCAAGTGGAAAAAAGGAAGATCAGTGATATGCAGCTTCTCCTTACAAAATATTTAAAATAGAGACATCCTTTTTTTAAGAATTTATTTATTTGAAAGAGTGAGGGCATGTGTGAGCAGGGGGAGGGACAGAAAGAGGTGGGGAGAGAGAGAATCCCAAGCAGCCTCTGCTCTCTGCTCAGGGTGTGGAACCTGACCAGGGGCTGGATCCCTCCACCCTGAGATCACAACCTGAGCTGAAACCAAGACTGACACTTGACCGAGTTTCCTAGGGACCCTTAAGATAGAGACATTCTTTTAAAAATGTTGGTTCTTGGGACTTATATATTGCATAGATTTCTTTCTTTTAATTTCATGAAGACAAAACAGAGACTCCTACTCAGAGTTGATCTCCACTGCTACCCTTCTCTGACTCCAGCGCATACACGCTGAAGTTTGGGTTGGCCTGCTTTACTTGAGAGCATAGAGTTGATGACATTGAAGATTCATTAATGAAGCTCCCCTTCCCAGGCCCATCAGCAATTTACATTTCATAAACGAAATCAACAGCCTGGAAAAGTCAGTGCTGCATATGAAATGACAGGCTGTCTGCCTCAACAACTCAGCGTGACGATCTCTTGATTCAGTGTCTCTGCATGCCTGCATGTGGAGATGAAAATGAGGGGCTCAAGTGACAAATGTTTACGAAAATCGAGTATTTTATTATTATACAATAATAATCAGTGGTAAAAAAAATATTTCAAACAGTAAAGATTGGGTGAAAATAAGAATTCCCTTTCTCTTTTTCTGGTCTCTGGGTCCCAATCTCCAGTACTGGCCACTATCCTTAATTTCCTGAAACTTATCAATGAAGCCTTTTGAATAAACTTAAATATACATATATATATATATATATATATATACACATATATACATATATATATATAACTTTTGACTAAAGTTAAATACAAATATATATATATTTGTAATATATATTGTCATTTCATATGACTAGGAATAAACATCTACATGTGACTCAAAAATTAAGGACTTAACCTTCAGTAGTAATACTATCTAAAAAATGAAGGCACTAGGCTCCGAATGAACAAGTAGCCTAATAAAAGAGATGCTCACCTTAGAAAATCCTTTGACAATAATCTCATATAGCAATTCCTGCTTTGCATCTTCAAGGATAAAGACCCAATTCTGTAAGAAAAAAAGAAAATTACCATGCAATTTAAGTTTATGAGCATAATTTTAAAATAATTAAGCTCTTCCTATACATCACTTATAATTCTCATTAATTTTACAACATTATTTTCTCCATTGTAGGAATGACAAAGTTGAGATTTAGGGTTTTAAGGAATGTCCAAGGTCACAACACTTAGTAAGTAATCTTGTTTTTAAAGCCAGATTATATGATCCAAAGCTTCTTTTTACACTTCCCCTGAACTCATAACTTGTGAGGTCACGCAGTAAGGGCTGTTTGCATAAAATAGCAAAAGTCAGTAGTTGTATCCTAATGTGAGGGGCCATGGGCACGTGCAAGTTGGATAGTGCACATTCATAAGTGTCTGTAAAATTCTATGTGCAAGATAAAAGTTGGTTCTGGTTGTATAATACTCCTAAAAATCATATTGCATGTTAAAAATATTCTTAACAATTTTTATTTTTTTCAAAAGACCTCTTGACAAACATTAAGACAGATATTTCCATTTCAAGATTACAATGACACTGTGACTGAGGGGGTGAGAGCCATGTGTAGAGTGGGAAGGAAAGCTCTTTCAAATAGCTCTACTTGATGAGTAACATGTTTGTGAACCCCACCCTAGGACACTGCATTTTATTTCTAGCTCTGGAAGCATGAGCTGAATCAATTTCTTCTAAGGCTACGGATGCACAAGTGGGAGTATTTGGTCTTTCTATAGTCACCATTTTGTTCACATATTCATTCATTCCACAATATTTATGGATCACATACCATGTGTCAAAGATGTGAACAAATGCTGATGTTTGAGTAGCAAACAAGACACAGCTATTGCTCTTGTGGAAATTAAAATCTAAAAAGGAGACACAGACAGTAAATGAAAATGAAGTAAAAAATTATACAACAAAAATTTTATATAACACTAAGGCCCTTGGAAAGTATTAAGATAGTGTGTACCCTCCCCAGGTATGTGAATGTGTTAATTCAAAATAGGGGAATATGTGCCAGGGAGTGTTAAAGTGCAATAATAGCAGTGATACCACTTCTTTACAGGATACATATTCAAATATTATAGGAAGTAGGGTGTGAATGGCTATGTAATTTTCGACTATATAAAATTCTGCTGTTAAACAAATGTGAGTTTTGGTGTATGGTTTTTTGTTTGTTTGTTTTTTGTAACTCCAGATAATGAGCCTATTAGGCTAGAATTCAAATAAAGCCAGACAGCACTATCTCAGGTAACATAGACTGTACTTAAAAAGTATCCCAACCATGGGATCAGTTTTTCTGCTGTTGGAAGGAAGGAAAAATTGTAACATACCGGAATCCTTCCATTAATGAAAAAAAAACCTTATGGCAAAAATGGAGAACTCTAAAGCTGAGGCAAAATTGTTAAAAGAAGAAGAACTGGGAAACGTGAAAATATAGTCAGCCATTACTTTGGTTGGGATGATGTCATGAGTATTATTTGGATAGTTTATGAAACCAGGTATAGGGACACGTGGGTGGCTCAGTGGTTGAGCATCTGCCTTCAGCTCAGGTCGTGATCCCAGGGTCCTGGGATTGAGTCCTGCACCAGATTTCCTTTGGAAAGCCTGCTTCTCCCTCTGCCCGTGTCTCTGCCTCTCTCTTTATGTCTCTCATGAATAAATATATAAAATCTTAAAAAAAAAAAAAAACTTCTATACTGGTAAGTTGAAATGCAGTTTCTGAACAAAAGCCATTTCCTAGGACAATAAGAAATCAAAATATTTCATTTTAATAAAGCCTTATATTATTATACTAAATTTAAGTCAATTTAATGTATTTTATAAAATTAATAACATATAAAAACAAGAATTATACCAGTTTGAAATTATTAAATTAACCACCAGGTGGCGCTCCATGAATTGAGCGTCTGTAGTCAAATATAATAAATCGCTTGCATTGGTTAAATTAGGAAAAATTACCACACTCTTCCCTCCAAGCGGTTTTTATTAATTTTTTATTTGTATTACTTAGAGAGCTTCCAAATCACAAGAAATGGGTTCTTATTAAAGACAAGATGCCAAATTACTTAGTATGTTTAGTATGAAACTGTTTAGCAAACTGGGTTTTAAAATCAAAGTCCTTTCACTTAAGTTACTTTATAGTTTACTAAGAACACGTTTCACTGCATATTGATAAATGTAACTATAATTGAAATTGAGAACAGATGAGAAAAATCTATTAGAACTGATTCGTATGTTCTTTTTTTCAAATGTTGATTTCCCCCCTTTTCTTTGTATGTGTGTATGTAAATGTTTTACTCCAGAGCCTGAAATTAAAAAAGATGAAAAGATGCCCAAAGCAGGTAAGGACACTTTGTAAGATTTACACATAAATAGATGTTCTGTTTGTTATGTACAAGTCCAGTTTTATAATCAGGGTTGGGTAAGGCCTTGAGATGCTCACAACATTGAAAAAAAAACCTGATGCACCCATCCTATATATTTTAAATATAATAAAGCCATAAACTTGAAGATATGTTAAGGTGAAAATAGATTCTTTTTTTTTCCGGATAAAGTCATCAAAGCACTACTGGCATATGCTGTTCCTTATGCATCTAATGGGTAACTGAGCACTGTTTACAAAGTGCTCAGGGGACAATTTGAATTTCAGACCTGCCTTCACCTATATTCAACCTTTTTTTTTAACCTCAAGAAACAGTGGTTTCATATGAGGCAACCTAATAGATTCAATCACTTTCTTTCCTACTAATTAAATATGCAAATATTCTTTGGAATGGTAATCCATTGCTTTCCTGGTCATTGATTTGAAAATTGGAGTACTCTGAAAATAGGATTTCTAAAAACAGGTTCTGTGAGGGAAGAAGACAGGAGATTAGCTGGGCACTCTTAAGACAGGAGTCAACACTTAGAAGAAAAAAAATCATAGAATACAGTGCAGAAAAGTAAAACTAAAAATTCCAGTTAGTAATGACAATCTTCCTCGGGTTAACCCTACTCCAAATATGTTATATCTATATGAAGATATTTATATGTCTATCTACATATGCAAAAAAAAAAAAAGCTATATCTAGCTATATCTCCCCATACAGTAAAAGTTCTGTGTACACAGAGACATATACGGATCTTTGGTCTTAACAATATTTGTATATACTCATTTTTACCAAGTTTAACCTATATGAAAATCATTCTTGTTTTACCCTTCTATGTTTAAATATTAACTTGAATTATTGCCACTCCTTTTGAAAGTACTGTTAACAAAGCAAAAGGAACTCATTGCTTTGTAGTGAAAAAACAGTCATTTTGAGTGACTTTATAAAATCTGAAAGCCTGCATTTTCTGGAAGATAAATGGAAAAAAGTGACCAATTTTACATAGTGAGGAAAATGCATAATAGAGATATGATATATTACATCTTAACATCAAAATTTATAACTGAGCTTTCGATATATTGGCAGTAAGGGGGAAACTACATATAAAAATTGCTCTATGGTTGTTGGCACTCTTACTGGTGTCAGTGAAAGACTGCTGATCAAATAAAAGGTATATGACATTACTCTTTCCTGTAAGCTAACACTGTATTTGATGCTTTATTTTATTGTTGGTATGTAATGGGAAAAGTAATATGCACTATAAATTTCCTATTATTAGTTTGCATTAAATATTTATGTCTATTTTTATGTTATATTTATTTTTAACTTCCTAAAAGGAAAGAGAAATTAGCATTAATGGCATATGTTATATAATCAATCAGCAAATTAATTTTTTTTTTTAATTTTTATTTACTTAGGATAGTCACAGAGAGAGAGAGGGAGGCAGAGACACAGGCAGAGGGAGAAGCAGGCTCCATGCACCGGGAGCCCGATGTGGGATTCGATCCTGGGTCTCCAGGATCGCGCCCTGGGCCAAAGGCAGGTGCCAAACCACTGCGCCACCCAGGGATCCCCTCAATCAGCAAATTAATTGAAAACATATATTATGCTAAATATCACTGCCATATGTTTAAGATTGTGCTTGGTGATGCAAAACTTACAAATAAGTAATAAGATATTGTTTTTGTCTCAAAAGAGTATAATCAAGGACACAGACACGAACTATCAAGTGATGGCTCTAAGACAATTATATCAGTGATGAGTGCTCGGGTGTCTCAAGGGAGGAGCCACCCCTGTGGTCTTATCAATCAGGGAAAACCTCGGGAGATGATGGATTTAAGCTAGGGTTTTAGGAATATGCAAGAACAGCTGAGACAGGGAGATGATTCTACAGCATGGTGGAAGCAGTGCTAGCTTTTCGAGTAGAAAGACATGAATTTGACTCTGCCATTTGCTAGGGGTGTGACTTAAATTACTTAACATTTCTGACCTTCAGTTTCTTTATCTATGGAACGAAGGTTATCATAACAAGCCACCAGGGCTTGTTAAAAGGAATCAACTTGGTGCTTGCCATTTGGTTCAGCTTCAGTAAAGGGTAGCTCTATGGCGGAGTTAACTGAGGGGCAGGATGAGCATGCAGTTAGCAGCAGGCAGCAAGAAGACCAAAGACCAAAGCAGATGCTAGGCCCTGAATGAGGAACAGACGATGGCAGAACTGCAGCCATGGTAGGTAGCCAAAGGGAGGGTGGTTCTGGAAATCCAGGAAAGGGCGATTAGGAGGCCAGAGTGAAAAGTCTGGATTCTCAGAATATGAATCAGAGGAAGAGAGTAATAATCCTAAATCTTGTAATAGTGTATGGAGTGAAGTTTTGTAGAATGGATTTTCAATCAGAGATTTGACTCAGTAGTATTTTGTAAGTAATCTAAATATTATAAGGATGGGAAAAATTGGTACAGAGCAGAAACAATGAGAAAGTGAATTTTATTTATTTTCAAGATTATTTATAGCCATGACTACTGTGCAGTGTGGAATTTTTAGGAATTACGATTTTTAAAAGCATTGAACCTAGTAACCCATTGAAAATACGAACAACATCTTATATATTCTTTCAGTTACAGGACACCATACACTTTAAAAACACAGTCGTACTCCCTGTATTGCGCTATTGCTGCTTTTCTGTCAAGTTGTTTCACAGGAAAAGAATAGGCATGGATGACATTAGCTGTACTGAACTTCACGGCCTCAAGCATGAAAGGATGAGAAGGCGATTAAACTATAAGTTGCAAAGGAAGTGCAGGTGTGCAGGTGGGTGGATGTTAGTGGGACATCCACCCAGAGATATCCTAGCAATGCTTGCAAATTGGGAGCATTCACTTGGGATCCTCAGACTAGATTGGGTATACATGAGTTTCGAAGTTCTGCATTTGAAGACAAAGGAGAAAAGGAGTTGTTCAAAAAAAAAAAAGAACATGGAGACAGAAGAGAAGGGAATGAAGGATGCTTCATTCCCTTGGATTTCCCATGGAAAAGTAAAAGAACCAATAAAGAGCAGGCAAGCAGGTTATGGGGAAGACCAGGAAGTACAGTGTCTCAGCATCCCAAAGCAGGAGTCCTTTCAAGAACACGTGAAGAAGTCAGCAATATGAAAGTCTCAGAGGGTCATGAGACATGGGACTGAGAAAAAGCCATTATAGTTGACAAAAACCTGTCATTTTGTGACTTTAAAAAAAAAAAGATTCTATTTATTTATTCATGAGAGACACAAAAACACAGGCAGGGGGAGAAGCAGGCTCCCTGCAGGAAGTCGGATGTGGGACTTGATTCCAGGACCCTGGGATCACACCCTGAGCCAAAGGCAGACGCTCAACCCCTGAGCCACCCAGGTGTCCCAACCTTTTGGAGGGCATTTTCAGAAGACCAGTGGAAGTAAAAAACAGTTTGGGATTTATCAGTAAGTAGAAGCAGAGCACAAACTACTTTTTCCAGGAATTTGTAGGGAAAAGGAGGCAAAATATTCTATTTCAGCAGGTCAAATCAATGAAACATGTTGGTTGTTGTCATGCTGGTGATAATCCGATGGAGAGAATTCCAGGGAGAGGAGGAGTGAGAAGTCCAGAGGGAGATACGGATTAGGAGAGAACTGTCCCAGATTTGAGAGAAGTGGGGATATACCCTCTAGGTGGAAGGAATAAGCTTAGTTATGAGGAAGAACAAAATGCTCCTGAGCTTTGAAGGAATAATGAAAGGGTAGATTAAATTAAAGTTGAGCATACATGAGGGAAGACAGTCCTCCAGAATGATCTTTTCTCCTAAAATCTGTGTGATGGTGACCACTAACATGTTTGTTGCCCAAACCAGGGGATGGTTTTTTTCCTGCCTCATATTATACTGACTCCAACACAATATTTGACCATGTTTACTGTCTCTCATGTCCAAAAAAAAAAAAAAAAAAAAAAAACCCGAAAAACTTTCTTTGGCAAAAACTAAACCATTTAGCCCACATTGTTAAAAATAAGACAGTGACAACAAAGAAATGACTACATTTTTAAATACCAGAGCGACATTTATAATGATTTATTTTTGACGTGGCATATTATTAGCCACTAAAATTCCTTTGTTTTTTACCCGGCGATGAAAATGATGGCAAATGGGACATGCATTTCATTAGGTAATTGGAGAATAGCTTAGTGTTCTTTTTGGGAAGCAATAGATATTAATTATAAGTAGTAATATAATTAAAAACAACAAAACGCTTGCCTAAGTAATAAGCAATACATTATTTTTCTTACTTACCATGGATATTAATATTCATAAACAAATTCTTCAGAGTTCTAGAACTGTATTTCTAACTGTCTAACAAACAGTTCCACTTGGTTATTCTGCCTACGTGTCACTTTGTTCATAATTGAACTCAACAGCTCCTCCGTTGTCTCTTTCTGTCATTATTGTCGCTCCTTATCCCAAGAAATGGAACTCATGAGTCACCACTCAGTTCCGTTGACTTAAACTTCTGAGTCATTTGCAGCTTCTCCTTGTCTTTCAGAACCCAGTGTCCAATTAGGTATCATGTTATGTATTTCCCAAATTTGTGCTCCCCCCTCCTTTTTGTTTTCTTTCTCCGGGTATGACCATAGTTTTAGCTCTCATCATCTCTTGCCTGAATGGATAAATAAGCCCATGATTTGATCCTCTTGTTTCCATCTCGTCTTCACAGACAGATCCACCACATGCCTGTGCTAGTTATCTTTTCTAAATGAGTATCTGTGGAGAACAGAGCTAGATTCACTGTCACTACATTATACTGCGTCCCCACACCCCCTGTCATATTTCTTCATGTGGTCTCTCTTTGTCTAATCCACCACTAGCATCGCTTCCAGTGCACCCACATCGAGATTTTAAAAAGATTACTTGATCTGCAGAATTTTGTCTATTCAGTGTCTTTGAATATTTTCCCTTCACTCTAGGTCCATGG